CTTTGATTATAAACTCAGAAAGAAACCACATAGATAGGAATCTGAAAACTGTCCAGAGCTTGCTGTGACCTTTACAAATGGCCACTAACATTACTTAACAACTATGTTAATATAAATGATGTCCCTAGGGGGGCAATTTAAATAGCCCTGGGATTGTGCCATTTTTATATAGAAAAATGTCATTACAGTACAAATAACAAAATTCACAGCATTTTAAATGACTTACCCAAACAGCCAAGTTCAACCATAAAGACTAGCACTAATGTGGCCTGGAGGAAGCAAAATGGACATGGATAATTGATATCTCTGAGAATAATTATGGGAAAGTTTTAAATGCTTAAAGATTCTCCAACAGTTGTGGTGCATTAAAATCACTTTAAAATATTCAGATATGAATCTTTGAGGTTTTATTTTAACATGTGGCAATAAATACATGTCTATACAACCAAAGACTCTCCAGCCCATTCTTCCTTCCACCCCTGCCAAAAAAAAAAATTCTATTTATCTGTCTACATAAACATCTTTGATTTGGATGAGTCAGAAAAATGGAAAAATACAGGTGCAAAAATTTAAAGGAGATACAATAATGTACTTTTCTACATGACAATGCACACTGCAGACAGGACAGTCAACAACAGACCTTTCAAAGTGACCCAGATAAGAAGGACACAGTAAATATGGACAAGGATGCATTTGAGACTGTGAATCAGAGATGAACCCAAGGCAAACTTAAAGAGCCAGAGATTCAATGGCAGCAAATGAGCACTCGGCAAAAAAGGGAAGAAAACATCAAATGAATCCACACATTTGGAAGAAAGAAATGCTCTGTGGTAAGATGAAGGTAGCGCAGGGGATCTAGGCATGAGACCACAGGAAAAAAAGTCCACATTTCATCTTGAGAAGGAGGGGCAGCCATGGAAAACACAACCCATAATTATAGCAAACCCAATAAACAAAGTAAATATGGAGAGAAGGAGAACTGGAAATAGAAGAGGGAAATGATGTGGTTATTTTCTTCCCTTCAAAGCTACATTGTGCTTCCTTTTGTATTCTGCTTTTCTCATCCTTTTATTTCTCTTCAAGAGGAACAAACAAGGAAAAATAATTTACAATCATAGATTATCAGTACCCACAGTCCATCTGTTTAGTTTAACCACAACAGAATGTGTGAGTGTTTGTATTTGGGGAGAGACGGGTGGGCACTATTATGTACCAATGAAACAATCTAATGTCTAAAACCCGGGATTCTGTTCAGTCCAAATTCCACAGTCTATGTTATAATCCTGCTTTTTAAAAGCTCATAGGAATTCATCGTCAAGAATCCCCCTTCTTTTCATCTTTTTTTTTTTAAGAAGTCAATTGTTTCTGGAATGAATATTCACAATACATGTCCCCACAAAGGACAGCTAATGCATCCAAAAGTGAAACCAGTAAACAGCCACTGGCAGTAGAAATTTATGGAATTAGAAAAACCGGACTGGTTAAAATACATGACTGCATTCATTGTTGCAAAATGATTGGATTCATGTCTCATCAAATTTACATTGTGAAGACTGAATATAGTATGATTAGGCATTATTTTAACAACTACATTAAAATACAATTTAAAATAAAATGGTCCTTCATATCATACTAATATCAGTGTTTTAAATAACAAAGGGGATTTTTTTTTTAAAGGAAAGGATTAGCATTTCGTTTCAATCAGTACAAGCAATGAGATTCCAGTTGGGGTCTCAAAGATTCAGGATTTTATTAATATTCCAGAGATGCATTTGTGTTGCCTCTGGGTACACTGAAAAGCCACTTAAACCGCACTTAAAACAGCACTACAGGATCAAATTGATGTGCATCAACCATTTACAATAAAACTTGATTATTATAAAGGCATACATATTTGCATAATTACATGTTTGATTTTTTGATAATGCAGCATACAAGACAAAATGTTGCTTCATGTAGAAACACATCATCAAAAAGCACCATCTGCTGTAGTATTTAATGCATTGCACACTGATCAAAAATGTTGAAGATGGATTTCTGAGTATCAAAAGGAAAAAAAAGCCTGAGTTGTATTTACACAGGCAGTATGGCTGGCTGGATCACGTAGAAAGGAGAAATAAAATTCAGGCAAAACATGGTATAAAAAGATAAGTCCCACACATCTTTAAACACAGAAGTGAGCACTTTCATGAATATGGCATAAGAGGGCTGGATATCTGTTTACATGATGTCATCCTGCATTTAGTGAATTTTCAGATTCTAGATTCTATATTTAGAAATGAGACACTTTAGAATAAATTGCTCATGGATAGGTTTATCCTTGGAGAGGCTTCCGTGATGTGCAGCAGTGTGTTTGGAAAGGAGAAAGAAAAAAAACCCTTCGGTTTTTCATTGTGTGCTAAAACGAGGACAGTAACATTACCTTAGTGGAACTACTCATGATTTTTTTCCCCTCTTCTTTGTTTTTATTTTATTTACTAATTTATTTAAATTTACTTACCGATTCTCCCTAGTTTTCATATACATTTAAAAACTGTATCAAATAAA